TTAAATAAAGCTGTAGGAATGATAATAATATTATTATAAATAAAGGTGTAGGAATGATACTGATATATAAGAATAAAGCAGAAGGAATGGTGATAATATAATATATAAGAATAAAGCAGAAGGGATGATAATAATATAATATATAAGAATAAAGTAGAAGGAATGATAATAATATTATTATAAATATAAATAAAGCTGTAGGAATGATAATGATATATAAGAATAAAGCAGAAGGAATGATAATAATATTATTATAAATATAAATAAAGCTGTAAGAATGATACTGATATATAAGAATAAAGGTGTAGGAATGATAATAATATCATATATAAGAATTAAGCTGAAGGAATCATCATGTTATAATCACTGATTAATTAGGAATAAATCTGAAGGAACAATCATATATTATTATAATAATAAATGATAATTATTAACAGAAGAAATGATAATTTTTTAATATATGTTAGGAAAACCAAGGGAATGACAATCTTATGATAGGAATAAAGCTGAATGAGTGATAATGTCATAATATATGCACGGGATAAAGCCAAGGAATGATAATGTTAAAATAATGGACAAAGCTAAAGGAATAGTCATGTTGTAGTGCATAAGAATATAGCTGACCGGATGATAATTATATAAGAATAAAGCTAAAGGAACGATATTCTTATAATAGGAATATGATAGGAATTAAGGCATGGCAATGCAGCAATGTTGATTGTAAACACTGCAAAGAATATCTTGAGATTCAGTCCATGGCACCAATAGGAAAACATTTGTTTACAGTACAATTGGCCACCAGAATAAACATTGAGAGAATAATCATATTGGTTGTTACATTCTGTTAATTACAAATCCTCTTCCCATTCTTAACGGGATCTTCCCATGGTTACGATATAAGATCCTATCCACTAGAAGGATAAAAAGCATAATCTCTCCGAAGCGTAACAGGGCTCCATGTGTAGCTTCCTAGGGAGCGGAACACTTGAATCTGAGAATCTATTTGGGTTTATTATGCTGCCTGTTGAACTTTTCAGTAAATGTGTGAATGTGTTTTAATGCTAGTTAATCACAAATTCTTATTTTGTCTGAAGAGAAAAGATGACTTCTTTAGGTTATAAGGGAAGTCTGGCCAAATTCTCTCTTCCCAATTCAAGTCTTATCCCCCACTGTGGCTATAATCTGATAAGCTGTTTATCATATTAGACGTAAAGAATGACTGTTTAAAGCTCATCAGTTTGATAAAAGTTGATTTTATGTGGACGTTATTTTAGTCATTAAACATAAGTCAGCTTCAAGTATGAATATATTTCTTAGTTCAACAGGAGCTTTGTGTATGAATACAACTTCTTTAGGATAAGGGGAGTTGTCTAAAGTTAAATTTTGGCTAGTGTTAGATATTTTCTAAATATTCTCAGTTTTCATGTGTTCGTCGGATAAAGGAAAATACCTTGGGCAGGTCCTGCGTCTATCGGGTGGCATACTAAACTCTGGCGGTGGGACTAGCTGTGGGATTGGGACCATAAAGTGATAACATTGTGTAACAACCATTTGAATATTTCTTTTGTTGTTTATTTTTTTTCTTGAACATGAACAATCCAATGAGTTTTGGATTATATTTCAGAACAATGATTTTTCTGAAGGCATGCTAATTTTAAAATAATGAGAACGAAGTTGAAGTAATGATGATGATGTTATATGAATATAAAGTGATTATGATAAAACATTTATGAATTAAGCTGAAGAAATGATAATATTATAATAGATGATAGGAATAAAACCAAATGTATGATAACTATTTAATATATAAGAATAAAGCCAAAGGAATGATAATTATAATAAAAATAAAGATGAAGGAATGATAATTATGATAAAAATAAAGATATAGGAATGATACTGATATAATATATAGGAATAAAACTAAGGGAATGATAATTTATAATATAATGAAGGAATGATACTGATATGATATATAAAAATAAAGATGTAGGAATGATAATGATATAATATATAGGAATAAAACTAAAGGAATGATAATTATGATAAAAATAAAGATGTAGGAATGATACTGATATAATATATAGGAATAAAACTAAGGGAATGATAATTATGATAAAAATAAATATGTAGGAATGATACTGATATAAGAATAAAGATGTAGGAATAATACTGATATAATATAATGAAGGAATGATACTGATATAATACAATGAAGGAATGATACTGATATAATATAATGAAGGAATGATACTGATATAATATAATGAAGGAATGATACTGATATAATATAATGAAGGAATGATACTGATATAATATAATGAAGGAATGATACTGATATAATATAATGAAGGAATGATACTGATATAATATAATGAAGGAATGATACTGATATAATATAATGAAGGAATGATACTGATATAATACAATGAAGGAATGATACTGATATAATACAATGAAGGAATGATACTGATATAATATAATGAAGGAATGATACTGATATAATATAATGAAGGAATGATACTGATATAATATAATGAAGGAATGATACTGATATAATATAATGAAGGAATGATACTGATATAATATAATGAAGGAATGATACTGATATAATATAATGAAGGAATGATACTGATATAATATAATGAAGGAATGATACTGATATAATACAATGAAGGAATGATACTGATATAATACAATGAAGGAATGATACTGATATAATATAATGAAGGAATGATACTGATATAATATAATGAAGGAATGATACTGATATGATATATAAAAATAAAGATGTAGGAATGATAATGATATAATATATAGGAATAAAACTAAGGGAATGATAATTATGATAAAAATAAAGATGTAGGAATGATACTGATATAAAAATAAAGATATAGGAATGATACTGCTATAATATAATGAAGGAATGATACTGATATAATATAATGAAGGAATGATACTGATATAATACAATGAAGGAATGATACTGATATAATACAATGAAGGAATGATACTGATATAATATAATGAAGGAATGATACTGATATAATATAATGAAGGAATGATACTGATATAATACAATGAAGGAATGATACTGATATAATATATAAGAATAAAGATGTAGGTATGATACTGATATAATATATAG